ATTTATTTAATACCTACTATTTGTAAGTGACGTCATCAATTTTACCGAGGACATGTATGATTTTAATATTTTTCAATTCGTATTTGTATTTGATCAAAATTTTCAAAAGGTTTTTAATGGAGTCCTTGAGACAGAGTGTAAAATTTGAGGACTAAAATATTCTATGATAATTAATAAGTAAAACGAGTAAAATAAGTAAAACATCATCGGATTATATGTTTAAAGTGTTCTTTATTTAATAATATTTTGAGATGACGCAATCAGTTTTTTGGACCGTATGAACGAACAAACTTTGATTAGCGTTTTGCCATCTTTGTGATAAGCCTCTATTATACAGGGTGATAAAAAATTACTGACAACAAATGCTTAAAAAAATTCCTGCACCCAACTTTTGAAAAATTAAACTTTAAATTTGAAGAATTAATTTCGTAATTCTGATTTGTTTTAATGAACTGCACATCTAAGAAGCAGTGAAATAATTAGTTATTTATAATTTAATAATAATTTGCTAGAATACAATCCACAACGTCAGTTTTTACTGTTAACAGATGCCATTTTTGACTATTTTTATCGGAATTTTAGACTGTCAATTAAATTCACATTAAAAAGTATCAGAATTACGAAATTGATGAATGAAGTTTAATATATTTAAAAATTTGGTTCGTGGGATTTTTGGGCCACTTTGTTCGAGTTCTTCAGAGCCTTCTTAACAACGTACCATAAAATTTATCATTTTTTGATCACCTTGTATATTTTAAATTTTAAAGCAACAAGTCTGCAGATTATAAACGACCACAAGCAGAGATGTTAAAACCCGTTCTATATTAATGGGCTGCTTTTTTTGTCTTAAATCGTGTTTTTTTTTTGTTATTTTTCGTATTTTTTACTTCCCAAGCGTAAGCTAAGGAAGTATTGTAATCGAGTCTATCGGGCTACTCGCTACTTTCATGTTTTCTTAACGTTTCATGACTCTAGAATACGGAAACATAAGTTCCTCGTTTCCGTCTGTCTGTTTCCCGTCTGCCGTCTGTCCAAGTTTGTGTCGTTTTTTATTACACAGATAATAATTTAAGTTTTACCCCAGGTATCCAGATTTTTTAATAACATTTCCCAATTTAACTTTGAAATTACAAAACCGAATCCTTTGAAATCCTGTAACCGTTTGGAGTTTATTGAACATATGGTAAATCGTTAATCAAAATTAATTGACAACCCCCTTGAAAACTAATGACGTCATTTCAAAATTTTGCCAAAATGTGCAAAATATGATGAGTTTATACTTGCGATTTACAATTCCATTCATATTTTTTACAATTGATTATACATGGTGACTCAAAAAAAAGAGTTAGTTTCTTTTATTGATCAAATCAGAAACTGTGAAATCGAATGTTTTGAAATCATGCAGAGGTTTTAAAGTTATCGTACCTAAGTATTGTAAATTTCTAATCAAAATATATCTGTTTATCCCCTCCAAAAAACTGATGACGTCATCTCAAAATTTTGCCGAATAAATCCTATCGTAGATTAATATAAATCTTTGCATTTACTTTACCATTACATTACATACATATATCCTTATTTTAACTTACAGCGGTTCTCAAAAAAATACGCAAAACAAATTTTGTTATTTTTCGAATCGAAAAAGCTGGGTATGTTTTATTGTACTTCAGGGACGAGGGAAGTTCTGCTGAAATAACCTTCGACCATTTTTACTTCCCGACTGTAAGCGACCTTTCATGACCCCTAGAATACGAAGAGATAGGTCTCCCATTTCCGTCCCACGTTTCCGTCTGTCTGTCTGTCGGTCTGGCGGCCCGATTTTTATTAGACAGATAATCTCCAAAGTACTGGTCCGATTGTTGTCAAATTTTGTATTTATATTAATAATGTCACATAGATGGTAAAACACTAATCAAAATTTGTTGAGTTTTACCCGAAACGTTCAAAATTATAAAACAACATTTTGCAATTTAATTTGAATCTAGAAAACCGAATATTTTGAAAACTTGCAGATGTTTTAAAATCGTGATAAGCATGATAAATTTTTAATCAAAATATATAAATTTAGTTTTTTTCTAATTTTATGAGCGAGCAGTAGCCCCGCCCACCTCTTCTTCCGTCCAGTGACCAGGCGCGGATCCCCCCTGACACATGACCGAGGCAGTTTATTTTGACCAATTTAAAAATTTTGAAATCAAATTTCATTTCGTAAATACAGTTCAACCTCTATAATCCGAATTCACGATTATCCGAATATCCAGTAATCCGAACAGAGGCTATTTGAAGTCGATGCTTCTTTAATCCGAACAAAAACTCTGCAATCCGAACTGAACTTGAAAACACAACATGCAAAAAGACGCAAGTTCTTTCTGCATGTTGTATGGAATACTTTGAAATTTTTAAAAATTGCCATATTTCAATGCACTGAATTAATTAACTAATTCTGGAAAAAAGGTTGAAGTTATCGAAGAAATAAGGCCCGAAATCTTCAAGAAAAACTATTTAGTTAAATTTCGAAAATCGTCGAATTGGTTCGAAATTTGCATGAGGAAAATTTCATTTTTGAAAAAGTTTCCTAACAATTCTGAAAAAATTCAGTGATATATGTATATCCCGACGTGCTGATTCCAAAAATATGGCATGTTAATGGTAACCGAGCAATATTTTCGGAAAATTCGGTGTGAAATTCGAATTTTTCAAAATTTTTAAAAATTACGATATTTCAACTGGACGAATCTGGAAAAATGGTTTAAGTTATCAAAGAAATGAAGCCAGAAGTGTCTTCTGAGGCCCAAAATCTACAAGAAAATGTATTTAGTTAAATTTCGAAAATCGTCGAGAATAGGTCGAAATTTGCATAATGGAAAATTTCATTTTTGAAAAATTCATCTAAAAATTCTGAAAGGAGTATCGAGATTCTACTATACATTATACGTGTAACGCAAACAACCAAATATCACCCATGTTATTTGAAAAACAGTATGCTAGCTAAACTTTTATAATTTTTTTTGTTTAGAACGAATTTCTGGGAGATAGGTAAAATCGCATAAAAATTGCCCCCCCCCCCCCCTAAACGAAATCCTGTATCCGCGCCTGCCAGTGACTACTACTGTTAATATTGTTCAGTCAGTAACAAAATAATCTTATTTTAACAAGTATTAGCCCCGTTCACCCACCCTTTATTTTCTTAGGGGGTATGTAATTTGCCACAGTCAGTCTAATCTTAGCAAGTATAATTTTGGAAAATTCATTCTACCCTATAAAATTTTATTGGCAATAACGAGATGGACAGTAGTACAATAGCAAGAGATATTTACAATTTAAAGTTATCGCGTGCCGGTAATCCCCAGATGTTAGAAAGCAGAATAATGTAGGTCCGGACAGGGACCATTGTTACTCACGAAGGAAAATGATCATTATTTTATGACCTGCTAAACGTTCTCCTACAAATTCGGGTGAACTGGTGTGAGTCATAAATATTTCTCGTTATTGTCAACAGAATTTTATAGGGTAGAATAAAATTTCCAAAACTATACTACACTCCATGTTCATATACGTGTCCTTGCAAAATCACAAAATTGTTTAAAGTAAAAACTCAACTCGAAAATGCTGGATATGTTTCATTGTACATACTTTCGATGAGAGGGAAGTTCTGTGGAAACAAATTTCGACCAATTTTTTGTTATTGTTATAAACATTTAGCAGTCTTCATTAAATAAGTTTTTTCGTCAAGTAGCAAGTATTTGTTATTTTATATAATTTTTTTAAAAGTCTCTAAAATTTAAAATTTGAGTTAGCACCACCTTCGGGTTTAAATTTGAACTACATGGACGAAAACGAAGAATTCAACAATATGCGAAGTATCATAACGTTAAAATGTTGAATATAGAACAAATAAATTTATTGCCAATTTTGTTATCCTAAAATCAACATCAGCTGTAATTCTTTTTTTTATCGTGCGCTATTTGTAAGAAATTAGCGACTTTATAGATAAAGTGATTTTTTTTCTATTTTTAAGCTTCCAGAGCTTTTAGGCGAGATTAAAAAACACAACTTTGTTGGCACAATTCGCGCGTATATTTTTTTTTATTACAAGAATTCCGAGTTAGACAACCAACAATTTCGAATCAAGTGGAAACGGTCCCTCCACCCAGTGAAAGTAAATCGAGCTTATAATTTAAATTCTCCATTAACATTTCTGTTGTCTTTATTCCAGCGCAAATACCGAAAAACCACACGTGCTAAAAATCGGCAAATCTGTTTTTCCAATTACCACGGCCGGCAGTATTCAAAAGCTATAAAACAACAAAGCACAGCCTGAAAACAATAAAGACTATTCCGCTCGCCTTAATCAATGGCGTAGGTTTTCAATCCCTTGAGTAAAACCCACAGTGATTCAATCACAACCAAACCGCCAAAGTAATAATTAAAAAAAATATTTGCTCTTCCATAACTCGTCGCAAGTCTGTGAAAACATCAGTGCATTTTTTCGGTTCGATTTCCACGAACGTCACAACCAGCAGAATTCCTCGTTAGCTAAATGCACATTTTCTATTTCCCACCGCGAAAATTTCTACATCGCGTGTTCCGGCACAAAGGGAGCATTTCCCGAAACGTTTATTTTTAAACGTTAGTTCGAAGCTTGCTCGCGATTTCTCGTCAAAGAGTATGCACAGAATAAATATTTAACAGTTTAACACGGGTCGGGCAAAGAATCACATTAAAATCCTCTCATATCAGCGCTTTTCATCATTTTTCCACCGGAAATTAACATGCGCCTCTCTTTGTTCTTGAACACCCTCATCCGCACTCTTGCTGTAATTCATTCGACAAACAGAGAAAAACGGAACGACGACTTGGTCTTATTAGAGTGGACTAAAGCCAATAAATCTTTAAATAGGCGCAGATCAAACATGGGGGGTGGCTGATATTTCGAGTCGACTGAATTTAATATGTTCCTGAGAGCAAGAAGCAACAGGTAATGATCTGTTTGATTTCAGGTTCGGTAAGCGCGTGGAAACCAACTCCAATTTTGCACCGATTGAATACGAAGGTCAGGTAAGAAAATTGGGTTTTCCTCTTTTGTTGAACTTTGACACAGCCAAGTAAACTTAAATATGAGCAGTGTAGATAGCGAAAGAGACGCGAAGTGTTTGAGCTTTTTTAACTGGTAATTTTCTGCGGTATTTGAAGGCGGGGATTTTTTGCGATTTCCGTCTTCTTGTAAGCATTGTTTACTTGGCGTGTCAGGAAAAACTTTCTTTTATTTTGTGCTAATTTTAGAAGTGAATATATAAATGTTGCTAAATCTTACGGAACGATTATGAGCTTTTCATTATTGTACTAGTTAATATGTTTTTAGTGTATTATTATAACAACAAAAAAAATCTAAAGAGCTTCCACAGTTCTTTTTTCGCCCTACGAAGCGTGACGAGTAATCAGTGGGTTTCAGGGTTTTTTCTTAGAGATTATAATTATTGGCATTTATTTATTCCATAGTCCAAATTTTTGAGTTGAATTTGCGTCAACATAAATAACATCACATAGCATATCACCAGCTTATAACCTAGCAATAGTCGCCAAGTCGTACTACTTTAAGGTATTTTTAACAATTTCAGAAAAAAACTGCCTCTTCGAAAAATTTTGAATCTTACTAATATTTTTTGTAAAAATGAATTTTTGTTTGGAACTAAGACAATATATGAAACCACACCTTTACGGACAGTCTAAAATAGTGTTTTTCTATTTATACCGGGTGTTTACAAAATAGTGGATTAACTCTCCGTTACGCTCTTAACAATCAACTGGTGAGTATGGGAAAAATTGTAAAAAAATCCTTCTCACATTTTGATCTCGCACATGATTTTAAAATTGGTTCTGCTGCTACGTTTAACAACTAAACAACACATTCATTCATTATCACAATAACTAGTAATAAAACTTTTCGTTAATATTTCTTTCGCCCATGACCATGTTTAATTACCATTTCAGTTAGAATGTACAAAGATATTGTTTTTGTAATAATTTGATAAAATTCCATTCAACAACAATATTTGCCTGATATAAACCGGTACAAATCAACAAAAATCGAGTAAGCAGTTAAAAATGTTTGACGTATCAAAAATTCAAGTTTTCAAAACCCTACGTTTAAAATTTTCGCATTTAATTTTAGGTCCACTTTGTTTTATTTTCGGATAAATTTAAAGGAATCGGGTGTTTTGTCGCTGGATGAACTTGAAAAAATCTTTTGAGCTTTTACTGTTTTATTTTTTATGAATCTCAAAAAGTTTTGAGTGTCGCAGTGTTTTTTTTTTTTAATTCGGGAGACTCTTGGGTACTCTTTTTTAAAAGAATTGTGAAGAACTTTCGTGTTCTACTTTTGGAAAATTATGACCCGACCTGTTTTTGAGTTAATTTATGGACCCCATTTTTTTTTAAATTTAAAACAATTTTGAGGTTTTAGGGATTCCTGCCTGGAAAAAATTCGAATGTGCTTTGCAGCCTCTGGTGTCTTTTCTTATAAGAATTTAATTAAAAATCTTAAAGGATACGTCATTTACCAAAATCAGTCTTATCTTAGCAGTTACTAGCCCCGCCCACCCACCCTCTCTTTCATTAGCGGGTAGGGCATTTGCCAAAATCAGTTTTTCCTTAGCAGGTACTAGCCCCGCCCACCCACCCTCTCTTTTCTTAGAGGGTATATCATTCGCCAAAATTAGCCTTATATTAGCAGGTACTAACCCCGCCCACCCACCCTCTCTTTTCTTAAAAGGTATCTCATTAGCCAAAATCAGTCTTATCTTAGTAGATACTCGCCCCGCCCACCCACCCTCTCTTATCTTGGAGGGTATATCATTTGCCAAAATTAGCCTTATCAGGTACTAACCCCGCCCACCCACCCTCTCTTTTCTTAAAAGGTATCTCATTAGCCAAAATCAGTCTTATCTTCGTAGCTACTCGCCCCGCCCACCCACCCTCTCTTATCTTGGAGGGTATATCATTTGCCAAAATTAGCCTTATCAGGTACTAACCCCGCCCACCAACCCTCTCTTTTCTTAGAAGGTATCTCATTAGCCAAAATCAGTCTTATCTTAGCAGCTACTAACCCCGCCCCCCGCCCTCTCTTTTCTTAGATTATTCTTATTTCTTATGATTACCAAAATTAGTTTTATCTTAGCAAGTACTGATGACTAACTTTTTAAAAAAATTATCAAAATTTGGAAACATTACGAGCGTACTTATATGCACAAGGCAGGAATTTTGAACATCTCTAGTGTTTAGTTGGTTATGCTTTAATGGATTTTTCTTTTGTTGGTTTTGTTTTTGTTTATAATTTATAAATGTCTTATTAATTTTTTGTTGTTTATTTATTAATAAAAAATGATTTGTTTTATTAATAATAATGCACAACGATTAATGACTACCGGTTGTTATGATTATGATTGTTCTAAAAAAAATAAAAACTGGATTTCATCGTTACTATGAGAAATCAGAAAGTGAGCCGGAGGTAATCTACATCATAAAGAATGTTTTTATTACTTTTTTGGGACTCCCGAAACCTCTGTACGTAACGTACTGAAGAGTTAATCCGCCATTTTGCAGACATCCCGTATACAGGGTGTGCCATTAAGCGCGTTACTCGATATCCTAATAATTATTGAAACTAAAAAAGAAATCACAGACTAAAGTTATATAGTTTCTGCTTGAGTAGCATACGTTAAAATTATTTTCAGTTGTACAGAGTGTTGTGTTTTTAAATGAAACGTCTTGGATATTTTTACATGTATATTTTTATTGACTCAGCATTATAACCATATAGTTTATTGCCATCGTGATTTGATGTTGCCACATTATTCCAATTTGTTTGAATATTTTTAATAATGCAAATAAATATTCACAGAAAACAAGGTACATGCTTAATATACAGAGTGGTTAAAAAAAATCTAAAATATACAATTTTCAAATATCGACATTTTAATTTTTTCAAATAGAACACTCTTTGTTGTATCACTGCACCTTAATCTGTTTTTATTCTCTTTTTTTTTGTGAAGTATTTTATATTTCTAAAGTTGATAATTTCTGCGATATAAAAAGTAAAAGGCAGAAATCAACTATCGGGTGTTCTATTTTAAAAAACTGAAATATGGACGTTTGAAAGTTTAATTTTGTATTTTTTATACACTCTGTATAGTTGAAAATAATTTTACTGCGTGTAACTCAAAGAACTGCACAACTTTTATCTTTGACGTTTCCTTATACTTCTGATTATATAAATAATTAACGAGACATCAAACAACGAGGGCTTCATGACTCACCCTGTATATCACAGGGTATTAGAATTAGAACTTATTACTTTTGATATTTAATATGAGAGAACAAATGAAACAAAAATGTGTATTTAAAAAATTAATTTAGAGTTTAGAAAGCAAAGTTTTGAGTGACGTCATCAATATTTTGGTGAGAATGGAGAACAAATTTCGGTTACCAATTTATCAGACTGAAGGAATGGACTAAATTTCTGAACAAATGTTCTAGTAGTTGCTAGACTCGAAGTCATTTTGTTGTTGTTTAACACTTTAACACTTTTTTAGCGTTATTTAAATTATCGTATTAGTTTGCAATTTTATACCTAAACAAAATTACCAAGTTCTTAATCTAAAAACAAATTCAAAGGACATACTTTTATACCTGATTTAGATCGTTTCCACTGAAAGTCAGGTTAGCCGAGTGGACTAAGGCGCTAGATTTAAGTTCTGGTTCGAAAAACGAGCGCAGGTTCGAATTCTGCACCTGACACTATACTTAGTTGACTTTTTTCTTCAAAACGTATATTCCACCACCAACAACACCTATGGGGCTTCACTCACCACGAGTGGTGGTCACGTGGTCTCTGACGGCTGTCCTGTTTATATACTACTCGCACACGCAATTATATGTTGCAGATTTGTTACAGGATTGATCTAGCAAAATTTTAAGATGATGTAATTAAGTTTTTGGAGTCTAGAAACGGAGAAATTTTTGATTAACGTATGATTTACCAAATTTTACGATAACCTAAAACATATTTCCAAGATTTCAGACCGGTTGGTCTCTCAATTTTTTTTTGTACAATTTTGATACTTCCTGAGCGTAAGCGTCCATCTGACGAATCGCTGAGTTCAGGGTTTCTCGATATTTTATGACTCTTAAAGTACGAAAAAGTAGGTCCCCGTTTCCGTCTGCCTGTCGTTTATTTGTTTGTCTGGCAACTGTGTCAATTTTTATTAGACATAATCTCTCAAATTACTGTTAAATTTTATATGTATGTTAGAAAAGTTGTACAGATACTAAAACGCTAATCAAAAATTGTATAAACATCCCCATTAACAATGGGATGACGCTATTTTCAAAATTTACAATAGTAAATATTATTTAAATTCTACAGATAGGTACTCCTACACTTGAGGTTTATGAATCCGTGTCGAGTTTCACTGTAGACAGGCAAATTTAAAAAAAAAAATCAAAATTGAATAACAGTATTTTAGAATTTAATTTGAAATTGCTATGAAATTTTGCACACATCGTAAGCATGGTAAATCCGTAATCGAAATTTATCTGTTTATCCCCTCTCCAAAAATCGATGACGTCATCTCAACATTTGTACTAGTAAATATTATTTAAATTCTATTAAACAGGTACTCCTACAGTTGTGGTTTATGAATCCATGTTGAGTTTTTACTGTAGACATGCAAATTTTTGAAAAAAAAAAAAAACAAAATTGAATAACAATATTTTAGAATTTAATTTTGAAATTGCTCTGAAATCTTGCAAACACCGTAATAAGCATGGTGATTTTGTAATCCCAAAATTTTGCGAAATCTATCTTCAGTATTTGATATATTTATTACTGTATATTTAAAAATGACGACTTCTATACTTTCCTCAATTTTTAAATGATTTTCATTTTGCAAAGGTTCGACCTTGTGTACCTTGTGTACCTTGTGGAATATGGAAAAATATAAATTTCTGTGAAACTTTATTTCTGTGAAACTTTGGATATATTTTAAGAATGACCTGTA